AACAGGGAAATAAAATAAATGTAAAGTCCTAATAAGTTAAATAAAATATTCTTAAATAAGCAACAAATGTTTGAAAAAAATGTATTCCTTGTAAACAGTAAACAAAACTTTTCAAAAAGTAAAGTGTGGCACTAGTTCCAGGATGAAGTTTTACTCAATCTTCAAAAACCAAGATTCCGTACTGGCGAAAGGCGAAAGTGATTACTGCGATACGATGACCATATTTTTTTGAAGAGTCACGTGGTTTGGAGGGATGTAGTCAAGGAGGTTGGGGCAATTGTTGTCAAGGCGGCTGCCCTGACTATAAAGTGCTGCAGGAAACATTGCCTCAATCACGAGTTCCCTTTGAATATTAAAGAGCCGAGTCTTCCGTGTAGCTCTACACGTAGTGGCAGAATGTAAACACACACAAATTGCGCAAATTCACTCGTGCACAGCCCTGCACCGAACTGAACGCCCCATACCGAAACTGTTCAGCACAAATACATGTACTGTTACACCCCTACAAAATAATAGTACTTTCTTTTAATACCATGTGGTCATATGTTGATAAATACTGCATTCTAAAACTGTACAGGAAAGGTCCAACTTTAACCCCAACTTTTGGGATTCTAATGCAATCACAATGTCTGCAATGAATAACGTGAACAAAAAAGGTCCCAGGACTGTCCCATGTGGAGCCCCAGCACTTGAACTCACCATGCCACATTCAGTTATAGTTTACTAGCATGTATTGTCTTTCCGTTCTTTGCTGTTTGTGTTTTAGTAGTGGTAAATTGTGTTGTGGTAGTACTGGTATTAGTAGCAGAGGTTACTGTAGTAGGAGTAAAAAATAATAGATTCTAGACAACTGGGTCCTGATATTTGTTTTGAATAAAAGGATGTTAGTGTAGCCATGGAGTTGCTGAGATAAAAGTAGTACTTTAACTATGAAACGTACAAATGTTTAGTGAATAACATGAACAAAAAAGGTCCCAGGACTGTCCCCTGTGGAGCCCCATTGCCTGTAATCACAAAGCCACATTCAGTTACAGTTTACCAGCTCGTGTTGTCTCTCTGTCCTCTGCTGTTTTATCGCTCACCTCACAGCTTCACACTCCACCTCGTCTCATTCAAAGCCCTCGCGTCCGTTGGGTTTTTTAGGCTTTCAGAGGAAGTCATCCGAGACCCGTTTTAAAACTGTTCTGGGTCATTTGCGCTCTTGCCTCTTTGGGCGTCCCATAATGGATTCTGATAGCTTTTATTTTCGCACCTCTAATGGCTTGGTCGGGGTGATACTCGGAGATAGGCGCAGCCCGTAGAGAGAGCTCCGGGCTGGGATCAGAGGGAGGCAGAGGTGGGGGGTAGTGGAGAGGCAGTCTGGTTCTCTGTCAGATTGCACCGATGTTGTGGGAGGTGAAATTATCTGTTATATTGAGCACAAACCAAGCTGTGAACAATTTTCACTCCCTGTGTGTTCGGAAATGTGTCTTGAGGCTGTGATGTAAAGAATGTTATATTTGGTAGGAGGTAGTGGTAGGAGCTGTACTTGGAGTTATAGTAGTAGCCTTAGTCATAGGTAGTAGTAATGTAGCCATAATAGTTCTGAGTAGTTGCAGTAGTAGCAATAGAAATCTGTCATTGTTGTGCACAATATACACTGTTCCTTTTTTTTTTTTTTCAGTAGTAGGAGTAGGAAGTAGTAGTAGTAGTAGTAGTAGTAGTAGTAGTAGCACTACTAGTTGCAACCATGAGTAGTAGCAGTCGTATTAGTAACACAAATCTGTCGTTTGGCTTATACACTTTCTATTTTTTTCAGTAGTAAGTGTAGGTAGTAGGAGGTAGTAATAGTAGTAGTAGTAGTAGTAGTAGTAGTTGCAGTTGCAGTTGCAGTTATGAGTAGTAGCAGTTGTACTAGTAACAAATATGTCATTGTTGTTTGGAATATACACAGTTCTTATTGTTTGAAGTAGTAGGAGTAGGTAGTAGGAATAAGAATTAGTAGTTTTAGAAGTAGTAGTAGTTGCAGTCATGAGTAGTAGTAGTCGTACTCGTAACAGAAATCTGCCATTGTTGTACAGAATATACAGTGTTCTTATTGTTTGATGTACTAGGTGTAGGAGTAGGTAGTAGCAGTAAGTAGCAGCAGTTGTAGTAGTAGTAGTTGCAGTCATGAGTAGTGGTGTACTAGTAATAGAAATCTGCCATTTGGATTATACACTTTCTATTTTTTTCAATAGTAGGAGTAAGAGTAGTAGTAGTAGTAGTAGTAGTAGTTGCAGTTATGAGTAGTAGCAGGTGTACTTGTGACAGAAATATGTTGTTGTTTGAAATATACACTGTTCCTATTGTGTTCAGTAGTAGGAGTAAATAATAATAGTAGTAGTAGTAGTAGTAGTAGTAGTAGTAGTAGTAATAGTAGTCATGAGTAGTAGTAGTAATCATGAGTAGTAGCAGTCGTACTAGTAATAGAAATCTGTCTTTGTTGAATGGAATATTCACTGTTCCTATTGTTTTCAGCAGTAGTAGTAGCAGTAGCAGTAGTAGTAGCAGTAGCAGTAGCAGTAGTAGTTGCAGTCATGAGTAGTAGCAGTCGTACTAGTAATAGTTTTCAGGAGTAGGAGTAAGAAGTAAGTAGTAGTAGTCATGAGTTGAGTGGAATTTACACTGTTCCTATTGTATGAAGTACTAGGTGTAGTAGTGTGTAGTAGTAGGTAGGAGTAAGTAGCAGCAGTCGTGGTAGTAGTAGTAGTAGTAGTAGTAGTAGTAGGGGAGGAGAATGCAACATTTATATGGATACGAGCAGTCATAGTTCTCTATCCTTTAACTTTCAAGTGCGTCCAACAATGCTCAACCACTTAGGCCAGGGTCATCAAACTCAGGCCTGCGGGCCAACTCCGGCCCTCCACGCCCCTTTGACCAGCCCCGAGCCCCTCTGCCCCCCACCACTTGGACTGGCCCTATGAGACAATCCTCAAAAGCTGTCATGGACTTTTTTTTTTTTTATTATTATTACTTTTTGGCAAATAACATGTTTGTAGCTTGTATTTTGTTGCATCTTTGCATTTATATTAAAATAATTATATGGTGTATTTACATTTGCCGTCACCTGACAAACTCGAGATCAAACAGTGACAGTCAGCGCACGAGCAGAGTTCTGTAGTGCAGTTAAGGACAGCAAAATGACGAGTGTTAAAGTACGAAAAGTTGACAGAAAGTTTGGACAACCGATTATTTTTTTTGTTCATTGTAAGAACCGTGCAGTTTGTCTGATATGTAAAGAAAGTGTGATGGTTTTCAAAGAATATAATCTGCGTCATCAGGGAGAAAAAAGTTTGGTGACACCTGACTTAGGCTTTATTTTTTATATATTATATTGTTGTATGTTGAAGGCCTCACTCTTAAAGACACAAAGAGAAGGCTTGAAATCTGCAACAGAGACCTGAGACCTGAGACAGACCATGTCCTTGTTGTCTGCTTTTATTGCACTTGGTTAGAAACATGACTTCATTTATTTAATTAATTGTAATCGGATCTGTCCCTATCGGCCTTCTGCACAAATGTGAATTTATTGTAGAGCCTGAAAAACTGATTCAAGGTTTTAAGACCGACTGAAACACAAAAGTCTGATACTGAGCTGCTAATAGGAGGAGGCTTTGAGGAAGACAAAAGAGGAGATTTGTAGATGTAGTGAAAGAGGACATAGCATTACTTGGTGCAGAGGAACGGGGACTATTAGAATCCATGTGGACATTTCTAAAAGCAATAAAAAGACTAGATTTTAAGGGTGTAACGATATTTAAGTCTCACGATATGATAATGTCACGGTATGAACCTCACTGTATGATATTTATTGCGATATCATGGGAAAGCTCACGATATGGTGGGGAGGCTCACGATTAGGAATGTAACAATATCCAAATTTCTCACTACGATATTTTTATGATATACATCTCATGGTATGATATTTATTGTGATATTTTGTAGAGGCTAAACAAAACTGTTAATATGCTACCTTTTCCTCTTAAAATGCCTTGACAAGACTTAATCCAGAACTGTTATTTCTTCATGTAGTCTGCACTGAAATGGAGCAAGGGATCATGGTCTATGTAGTTCCGTCTGTCTTTTGTTAGCTACTGCTGCACCATAACTTTTAATTTAAGCAAATAGACTTGTAATTCGATATATTGTGATGGTCCACGATATTACTGTGAGAACTTTTGACTTTTTTTTATGTCTTTCTAATAATTGATATATAGTGATTATTTTGTATTCCTTCAAAACAACACATTTGATCAGTTCCCAAGATAGGCTCCATTCTCCAAAAAAAGAACTGTAATCTGATTTTAAAGGTCCTGTATTATGCTAAATTGATTCTTATGGGCCATGTTATATTATTGTTAACTCCTCAAAAACATACCTGAAGTTGTGTTTTGTTTCATTCACACATGTCTAAGTAACATCGGCCACCTACAATGTCTTTAAACAATAGTTTTTAAGTTAATAGCTGCCTTTAGTACAGTAAAGACTGGCAATTCCAGGGCTTAAGTTATCCAAATTATTCTAGTGAAGGTGTATGGAGTTTAAAAACACAGTGGCGCACTTCCTGTATTCCCACAAGACATCACAAGGTGGAACAGAGTGTTTCTGTGACGCAAACGAACCGAACTAACCACTTTTGGTTCGAATGGACCGTTTGGTAAGCACCAAATACTGTCTGTGTGAAAACACCCTTAAACAGGTTTTGGCACTGTCTTCCTACCAGTGGAGGCAGGACGACAGCACCATCTGCAGTCCGACTTCAGTAGGACAGTATCCCAGGTGTGTGAGAGTAAAAAAAGCCCCCTTGCCCTGGTTTACAGTCCAAAACTTGTATAAATCAGCTGACCGCACACGTCACAGCAACATCACGTGACAATGAAAACAAACTCCTGGTCTGAAAAAAAAATCTAATAACATAAATAGACAATGTGGCCCATCTTTATAGTTGTTTATCATTTATTTACTCCTCTGTTTCTTAGATCTCTCTGGACGCTCACAGGATCCGTCTGATGCGTCTGCCGGAGGGAAAGGCCTCGAGCTCGCCTTCTTCAGGGACCCGACAGACAGTGTACGAGGTGTGTGTGTGCCCCAACGGACGGCTGTTCCTCTCCCAGGCAGGAGTGGGCTCCACCTGCCAGATCAGCTACAGCGTGTGCCTCTAGGACTCCAGAGCAAGGACAACCAACCAGGCCAAAAACTTGAACTCTCCCTGCTCCCTGAACGGGCGAGCGAGAGGATACCACTTCAAACTGCAACACGGAAATACATTTTTCACTCAAGCTGCCAACGGACGATATTTTGTGCCAATATTTAAATGAAACTCACATGTTTTGTACTCGTGAAGCGTTTGAGAGCGGCGGTTAGAGTAGGAACACTGCAAAAATTCAAATCTTAGTTAAAGTTAAAAAGTTAAAGATGCATTGTGTAACTTTTCTGGTGGAGGGTCCCTCTAATTCTTTTTCCATGGAGATGTTATTGCTTTGGCTGGAATGTTTCGCAGTACGGCATTGAACCTTTCTATTTTTATGGAGATGAAAACCAGAAGTTACAAGCCAGATCTGTGGAGAGGTGACCCCACTCACAGTCAGAATGCCTGTTTGTTTTTTAGGTATTTTTGAGCTATAAAACAAAAACTCAAGCTGTTTAATGCCATACTGTGGAACATTCCAGATAGAACAATGACTTATCCATACCTCCAACCAAAAAGTTACATAGTGCACCTTTACGATTACTTGAATTAAGAAAATTTTGTCATGATTTGAGTAAATTTCACTTGAGGTAAAACAATCTACCAGCGAAGGAAGAGTTTTTGTTCTTAAAATATGAAAATACATCTTGATACACTTAAAGAAACACTGCGTAACTTTTCTTGGGGAGGACACGCCACATACTAGTCTCCAGCCTGAAATGTTTCACAATACGGCATAAAACAAATCTCCATGGAGACAAGAAGGCCTAGATACAGAGATCAGTTTGGTGGAATGGCCATTTCTGAACAATAAAATCACCTTTAATGAAACTAACACTGGAAAAAAAAAACATCTAATGCCATACTTCTGGAATTTACCAAGCAAAATAATAACATAAAATTTAAAACAGTGGCGTATCCTCCACCAGAAAAGTTACACAGTGCACCTTTAAGTTAACAAAAACAACAACTCTTTGCACTTAAAGTAAAAATTAAGTCAAAACACTTATTCCTTAGGCAGATCATTTTACTTGTCAAGTTGAATCTATTCAATTTAAGCAAAATATTCTTGATTTAAGCCATTTTAACTTGCCTAGATGTTGCTTTTTGCAGTGAACTGTGAAGAGGGGAGAGGTGCGGTGCATTCACGGCAAACTCGAGCTTAACGTCGTTCCGCTCATGCATTTTTCATGACTTAAAATGAGGGCTACGGTAGTGACTGAGTAATTTTAGATTTTAGTAAATATAAGGCTATGCAGGATCTAACCGTTTACATTTAGAAATCATTGACACCCAGAACGAGAGCAATTTGAGTCACTTTTACAGTTTTGAATTCAAATTTATGGAGATTGATGAAAATTTGTAGACATAATTTTAGATAGAAAAATCAGCAGGGCCACATGCTCTTCTGTTGTTTCACAGAGATGCGGAGATCGGGTTCAAATTTCAGAAGATTACGTGAAGGTTATGTGAAATTATATACCAACTAATGACTTTCTACATAAAATACAAACTCTACTCCACTGGTAAACATTGAAAAAAAAAAAAGTTACATCTTATCAATATTTAGAATTCAAATCATTTTTACTTTTTTTTTCTTTAAAGCAGTGCAGAACTACAATATATTCACACCTCTTGGCAACTATATCAGTATTATATTTAATAATTTAAGACTTTTTTTTATATAAGCTTAAGCTAAGGTTTCTACAATATTAAAGTGAGCTAAAATTTTATCATCCATCATCATTTAAAAGTGCACTATGTAACTTTTTGGTTGTTGGGGGTCCGTGTTCTGCTTTTTTTTTTTTCTAACTCTGATTTACGATTATGGAAATGACCAATTTTGTCCTATATTATATTATTTAATTGATACTTGAAATGAGCGTTTAGTTTTGAGTATCCATTAGTATCCATTAGGATCAATTCACCTGCTTATTTCTGTGGATATGTCATTGCTCTGCCTGGAATGTTCCACAGTGTGACATTAAACAGCTCTACCTTACATTTATTCAATTGCAGGTGTTTTTATAGCTCAAAAATACGTAGAAAAACAGGCATTGTGATAGTGAGCGGCGTCGCCAGTCCACAGATCTGACCTGTAACATGGTCTGGTTTGGTCTCCATGAAGGTAGAAAAGTCAAATAGCATGCTGTGAAACAGATAAGCAGTAATGGTGCATTCGTTTATTCATCAGTCTCCCACTCGGATCTCGGATTTTACGTTATGTTCACACTTCAAGCATTTTATTATGTTTCGCTCATAGACCGTACATATGAATGGACATAGCTAATGCGCTAGTCGGCTCATTCCATATGCAACTTGAAGAAAAATGTGGACGCCCACTGGAAAGCTGTTATTATTGTATCTTCTGTGAGTGACTCTAGGGATGTTTCGCAACACCCGTTTAGAACAAGTCTTTGTTGAATATTGGCCTCATCACAACACCGACCAACAGACCCGTTGGCAGTGATACAGACTCAGTAAGGTATTGCAATGATACAAGTGATTGAAATTGTCGTTTAAACCAGGGAACTGGGGATCAGTACCGGGTTGTGGGTCATTTGGTACCAGGCAGCAAACCCCCCGTACGTCGCGTAGAATGTCCCGCCCTCCCGTACACCGCGTGGACCGTACCCCTCTCCTGTACATCGCGCAGACTGCCCCCGTCCTCCCTCTTGTACTTTTCGCGGCACGTCCACCCCTCCCGTACGTCGCGTGGACCGTCCCCCCCTCCCTACTTCGCGTGGACCGTCCCCCTCCCCTACTTCGCGTGGACCGTCCCCCCTCCCCTACGTCGCGTGGACCGTCCCCCCTCCCCTACGTCGCGTGGACCGTCCCTCCTCTCGTACACCGCATGGATCATCCCCCCCTCCCGTACGTGGCGTGGAACATCCCCCCCTCCCGTATGCTGTGCAGAACGTCCCCCCCTTCCATACACTGTGCGGACCGTCCTGCCTCCCGTACGTCGCATGGACCGTCTCCACTCCCATACGTCGGTGAACCCCCCAGTCTAAACCAGCTAAAGCTAAACGGTCCGTCTGGTCCATAAAATTCTAGCCCGGAAACCTTGCTCGGACTCTTCTGAGCTCTTCCGAGTTCCGAGACCAAGGAAAAGGAGTGTGTCAGTGCGTGTCGCTAGGCAACATCATCTGACCTCCAAGTCAGATGGATAATCGAACGCACAGACCCTCCACCAGAAAAGTTACACAATGCACCTTTAATGTTTTCAAGAGGAATGAGGGTAAAAAATTAGGTAAAAAAAAACTAAAATAAGCTAAAAATTACAATTAAGCTTCATTCTAATGTAAGTTTTGTTTGCTCCAAATCTTTTAAAGACAGTGAATTTCTACAATTTATTTAGTACATTTCATTAAAACAAAACACCTCATTTGCTTTAAATTTTTTGGTTTATTTTTTGCTTTTCAAGTTTGCCGTGAGCGCACCGTTCTCTCAGCCCAAAACTGCGGTAACGGAAACACAGTTTGAGAATCACGAGAGGACTTTGTACGTTTCTAAATTTACTCAAACACACCTTTTCCTGTTGGACACTTCTTCACTTTTACAGATTTGAACAACAACAATTCACAATTCAGTCGAAAAAACTGGAACAGATCTCACCCCGACAGACTTCTTTACGGAGGATCACTGGAGCTAGTCGACCCCCTCAAAAACTACGCCCATCCCAACTGATTTTAAACTTTTATTTTTGTTTTTAAAGGCGATTTTATAAAGAGAAATTGTTTGTGTGAAAAGTAAAAAGCATTTATTTATTGACGTGTGTGGTTGTTAATACATTTGAATTATGATATGCAAAATGGCGATTCTTTTGAAATGTATCTGAAGGTTAAAAGGGTTTTCTCATCAAAGTTTCTGATTTTGGTGATAAACATTAAAAAAAGATAAACGATAAATCCGTGTATCATTCTTTCATTCCTTTTTCAAAATAAAACTAAAATTAAGATAATGAAAAAACAACTATTTTCTTCATTATTTGTCTCCAAAACCAAAATGAAAAAACAGATAACGGTTAGTTTTTTTCAGTTTTAGATTTTATGTTTAAATGAATAATGGAAAAAACGGATAACAGCCGTTTCCCATTTCAGTGACTTAAAACTATGGTGCCAGACTTTTACGCCGCATACGGACTGAACCAGGACTGAACCACCAGACCTGGCTTAGACCTGGTTTAGTCCTGGTTTAGACCTGGTTTAGACCTGGTTTAGTCCTGGTTTAGACCTGGTTTGGACCTGGCTTAGACCTGTTTTAGTCCTGTTTTGTCTTGGTTCAGTCCTGGGATCAATCCATATTAAGTCACGTAAATGGGAAATGTCCGTTATCTGTTTTTTTTCCATTATTCATTTAAAAACACAAATCAAAAACTGAAAAGATTAATTATTATCTGTTCCTTTTTCATTTTGGTTTTGGAGACAAATAATCAAGAAAATAGTTGTCTTTTTCTTTTTATGTTTGGTTTTATTTTGAAAAACAAATGATACACGGATTGAGATACATTTCTATTCTCAATATTTACAACTTTCAGGTACCCCTGGTAGATTTTCAATTAGAAACAGAATTCTCCTACTTTGAAAATGCCACCGTGTGTAAGCTTGCTTTGAATGTTGTGTTTCTTAAAAAAGAGAATATATTTTATTTTGAAAGTTTTGACTGCTTTTAACAATTATATGATTTATTTTGAAATACTGATATCACGTCGACATTGGGGTGAACTTTATAACCATCTCTTTTTCTTTTTTTTTCTGCTTCTCAAGAATAACAATCAGAGCACTTTTGTTTATCTAAAACCATTAGTAATTTTAAATCCATTGCTGTTTTTGTTCTTGCCTCGCTTGACTGACCCCTGCTGGTTGGAGTCAGTATCGTTATCTGTTTGTGAGTTTATGATCGGGTTTAAAATGTGAATCCTTTTTGTCATACTTTAACAAAAAAAAAACGGTATTAAGAAGATTTCGGCGTTTGAGTCCAGTCACAATTAAAAAATACAACTTCACATCAAAAATGACCTTTATCTGGTACGTTCACAGCTCTTTGACCTTTTTACTTTCATAACACATTTTCAGATTTAATGTACCACCCAT